ATTAATTATTTTAAATACCCTTTCTCCCTTTTTTTTAAATCCAATTAACCACTCACCCATTTTTTTCTCTGCACACCTTCTTCCATAAAACGAACTTGCTTTTAACCCACAAAAAGCCCACTCTAACTTCACCCAAGAACTTGATAAAGCGAGAGCCCTTAAAGTACACTCATTTAATAGTTTCTTTTTAACCTATCTGAAACCACTTACATGGCTAGGAGGAGCTTTCCTTAAGGTGTTCTTTCGTTCAGCGGAAAAGCCAAGTCTCCTCGCCCGGTAAGTACTATTTTCCTCAATGGCTCAATTTGAGCGGCTAGAAGGGGAATGGGGTGGAAATAGAGGCCTCTGGGGGGTTCTACCACTCGGTTCTCTCTCTCTGGATATCGTGATTATCATATGACGTGACAGCCTCGCATATTTATGAATGCATTTGGGTCATAAACAACGTAGAATGGTATGGTTCTTGGGTTCTTGATTCTTGGGTTCTTGGTGTTGTTCAGCGTTTTTCTTTTCCATAGGTAAATTGCGCACTTAAGCCGTAAAAATCGTTTCGAGCTAAGAAACATTTCGTGTTCCAATCATTGATTGAGTTCTTTGATGGTTGCCAATAATAATTGCGCACAATATGGGCACCTTTTCAACTGAAATGCTCCAATTGCATTAATTATAATAGATTTTTAAGGGTGTTCTAGGGTCTACGTAAGTTATATATCTCTATTAAGCTATAATTTATTTTATCTATACAAATTATAGTATTTTACTAAGCTCTACAAAGCCACCTATTAAAACTTATTATAATTGCAACTAATTGTTACTCAAAGCTGTAATTATCACCTCTTTAAATAGCTAAAAGCCACTCATAATTTTCCATTTATCAATTGAGCCTCAATGACCTGCTTTTTTCCACCTTTTCATCTCTTTCTTAAGTTTAATGCAATTTCCTTGGTAATTTTCTTCCACATTTAGAACATGCAAACAGTCAGGCCAGAAACTTTTCCAGCAATTTTCCACCAGCTAAGAGCGAAAGAAGACTGAGAAGATGAGAAAATCGGAGGTTGGCTAGGCAGGTAATTGCAGGCCGGTGTAATTGGAAATTCGTTTGTTTATGTTGTCATTGTTGTTGCTTTGGCCTCCGCCGCTGCCGCGTCTTGTGCGCAAATTGAAAATTACTTAATGGTTCAGTGGCGATCGCTGTCGCTCCCGTTTTCCCTCTGGTTTTTCCCTGCTTTTCCCGGCTTGTCGCTGTCTAGTGGCTACTGGTTAAATGAGCTCAAAGTGCCGGACAAATGCGAAAATTGCTTGCCATGAGGTCAACAAAGGGGGGAAGCTAGAAGTGAAGTCAAGCTAATTTGTTTATCTTTTACTTGGATTTTGAAGAGATTAAAGAGGATTTTCGGGGATAAATAGAATAGGGATTGAGAATGAAATGTAGATATAACAGGTTTACAATTATTTCTTTGGTTATTTTTGAATTCAACTGAGTTCGGCTAGTCAACGTTTGTATACCCTTGGAGGTTACAATAGGACCGAAGAGCGAATTTGAAATATTTCATAAGTATGCCAAAAATGCATTAATTTTAATTCGGAAAGCTGTTCTGTGTTAGTTTTTATTTGTTTAAAAAAGCTACATACTTAATTTTTTAATTTTAAGATATCAAAATTATGGCCAATTTTTGAAACTTTTAATGATGTAACCCCTATCAAATTTCGAAAAAATCGAAAAAAATTAAAATTCTTTCTAATATGGCTAGAAATATTCCCCTGTTGATGCTGATCAAGAATATATATGATTTCTAGGGTCGGAAACGACTCCTTCACTGCATTTCAAGTTTCTGACTGAAATTATAAAACCCTGCAAGGGTATAATAATATTACATAGGAAAAACTTTTGTACAATTATTTAATCAAGTTTTAGACATTTTTTTATGTCTTATTATTTTGTATTCCCTTTTAAACTCTTCAAAGGCAAGCTTTAACCTTTAATTATATATTTTCTAGGACTTACATGTAAGTTTTTATGTTAAATAACCAAAAAATATATATCAAGGAAGCTGACACACAATTATTTAATCAATTTTTTAGAGTAATTATGACAGCTCAACATTTTTTATTTCAATATTAACCCTCGAAAGGCAAGCTTTTACATTTTATAATTCCTTTTCAAGGGGTTAAGTCTGAATTTTTTGTTGAAAGGTATGATAAACTCAATGTGTAATTAAATATGTTTTTGCCATGTTGTGGTTACAACCTTTTTCTACCTATATTTTTATTATATATATTTATTTTAAAAATTTTAAAGAGATGTATAATAACAATATTACTCATCAATAAAGTTTTCTTAATCAAAACTATAATAAAAATATATATAAATATTTTTAGGCTTCAACTAATGCATTATATTTTCTAAACTAGTTTTGAACACTCCTCTAAAACCTATCCTTCCATCTCAAAACCTTCAGATACCTATCTACAACCCCCTTTTATATTAAAAACCATAATTGAATTGACTGAAAACGCTTCTGATTAATCCTTAACCATTAATAAAATCAATACAGATTCCATAATTGCTAGACACAGCAACAGCCTAAGCCTGCATTTGCCACACCTTCCTGCTGCTCAATGAACCCATAAAATATGGCCTGGCAATTTCCAAGATTAAACGGAGTCTTGTATCGATTATCGAGGCTTTATTATAATGCCATTAATCCCAAAATAGTCGACTGTCTGCCATATGTTGGCCATATATCATGCCGGGGGGACCACAAAATGTGCCATTTAATGCAATTAACTAATTTGTTGTACGTTTTTGGCAACTGTTTTAATCTCGCCCACACACAAACACACATGCGGGGAATATGTTGCATTAATTTGTCAAATTAACACCTTTGTTGTTGGATTATAAAAAATACTTTTAATATTTCAACCCCACAAAGGGGAGGCAATTTTTCAGAAAGCAACAAATTTATGGCCATTTTATTTTAGCCGATTTTGTAGCAAATCTCACGCTAAATCATTGTTGGCCACAGCTGCAGTTTTGCAGTTTTGCTGATGTTGGAGCTCCAACTCCGAAAACGTTTCCGAATTGGAGTTCGGAGTAACGATAACAACGACAACGCCGCCATCGCCTACAACATTCATTCAAATTATGGAACCGCAGCAGTGCGATCGAGATCTCGTTTTAGTCACGCTAAATTTATACAACAAAAATAAGGTAAAAAAAAGAGGAAAAAAACCTACAAAAAATGAGACAGAGAAAACTGAAAAAGCCACAACAATAAACACACCTTAAAACCCCGGAGAGAAAAATCGTTTCAAGTTAATTAGCGAGCGCGACAAAAAACCCACCCAAAAGCGTAGATTTATGCACTCGAAAAACTCTGGAATTTATTTCTAGGGTTTCCAGAATAATATAATAATTATAGGTTTGACATTTATTAGAGTAATGAGGAAATAGTCAGGGATTTACATGTATTTTACATTATTTGGGGCAAAGCTTGTTAAAGGGGGTTCTTAGGAGCACAATCTAGGCCTTAAACAAAGTGGAAATAATAGGGGTTTTCGAAATCTTTGAATACCTTTAAGAAAACGTGTAGATAATTGATGAAAAAATGCTTGAATGACAAAGCTATACAATCTTGGAAATTACCTTTAAGTGACTCTAAATAAAGCAATTAGATTTGAGTCTCCTCTAGTTATAAACCTCAATGATATAATCTCTGAATAATTCCATTGTTAGGTAAGTGAATCTAATAAGGTAAATGCATCTGAACAGCCATATTATAAGCTGTTAAATCTGTAATTATTCATTTAGCAAGCTTTGCTTTTTAAACTGAGTATTTGTAAATCTTTCACGGCTAATAAAGTCAATAACCCTCATCAAAATAAACACCTTTCAGTGGTTAAATCACTTGGAGCTTACCCCTGTATTCCGTAATGGCTTGTTCAAACAGCAATAAGGGGAACTCCAACCCATAAATGAACTCCCCATTCCTGGAATTTTCATACGACTTCCATCCCCACTTAGTTGGCCGCATGAAATTATTAGGCAAACGATTACGAATTCCCTGCGGTGGCATAAACTAAATTCATGAGTGTGTCATGATTGTCCCGGGGATGAAGGTTTTCCTCTTTGGGGTGGCTTTTCACACACACATCCCTCGAGGGGTGGTGGCATAATGAGCTTAAGTTATGTTACATAAGCCATAAGGACATGAAAACCACTCGAGCAGACACTTCACATTCGGGGGTGAGTGAGTGCTCCTCCGCTTCCATGCTCCTCACTTTTTCGGTGGTTGCCAAACTAATGAGCTGTGGGTTGCTCTGCTCTGCTCTGTGGCTATGGCTGTGGCTTTGCCTCCGTGTGGTGTCTGTCGCTTGTTTGCACAACCGCTTTATGAGGCACCACCACCACCACCAACAGCAACAGCACCGCCACTCAACAGCTCGTCTCCTCGAGTGTATTTGACTTGGAGAACAACCAGTAAGTGAGTGAGTGAGTGAGTGAATGAGTGGAGGAGACCAAGGAGCGTGAGTGAGTGTGGACAGCAAGTCTAGGAAGTTATGATGGTTTTTGTTACTGGGAGTTTAGTCCTCGAGGGATTCTTTAAAACTGCTCAATAAAATCTTTAAAATTCAATTTAGTGTCATTTGAGTTTTCAATAAAGCTTTAATTTTTGAGAAATAAAACCCAAATTATTATTATTTTTGGTATTAGGTATTATTTAATGTAATTTTTTTTTAAATAATAAACTATATATTCCTTATTTTAGAGCAAGATAACTCATTATACCCATGAAAATATTCAATATATCTATGAATTTCAATCGAAACCAGAAAATAATTTGTAGAATTTGTCTAAATTATATTTTAGGGAAAAAATTTAAATTCTCACTTCACCAAAGAATATACTAATATGTCAAGCAATTTAAATAAATTTAATAAATATTCTAAACCTCTAAAAAAAGGAATTTGCTAATAATAAAATCTAAAAGACAACTCACCTGAGCTGGGGCGATCACTATACCGGGTGCAATAGACCCACGCTGGCCAAACAATGGGCGTTCCCGAATCCTCGCTGGATTTACTCCCACCGCCAGAGGTAGTCCCTCCACTTCCTGTTCCTCCTCCTCCTCCTCCCGCTGGAGGTGGCGACTTGACCAGATCCACAGGCGCCACAGAGGTGTTGTTGGTGCTGCTGCTGGTGGCGGTGCTGTTGGAATCATTGCTATTGCTGCAGATATTGGCCAGGGAGCTGGAGAAGCTCAGACTGGGATTAACGGCGTTGCTTTGAGCCAGGTTCAAGGGCTTTCCGGCACCTTTTTTGGGCACTTTCAAGGGACTTCTGCTGCCATTGGTTCCACTGGTATTCTTCGTACTTCCCGTGGCATTTCCGGATGCACTATTCCCACCCAATCCCACGATTTTGGGCAACCTAGAGCCAAAGTCCGCCTTCAGGATGTTGTCTATGCTGAATTTCAGGGCTCTCTCGTGCAGATTCTCGTTGTTATTGTGATGATTCTGGAGGTGATGATGATGATGATGGTGATGCACCTGATCCCGCTGCAGAAGCAACTGTTGATGCGGCGCCTGTCCTAGTCCTAAAGCGGTAGCAGTCAGCTGAGCCAGTGCATCCTGACCGGAGGGTGCCGTTACTGCTGCAGCTGCTGCGGCCATGGCGGCCATTTGCAGCTGTTTTCCCGCCGCTGCCGCTGTGAGAGCATTAACCCGGGCGGCGGCCATAAGATGCATCTGCTGCTTCATTAGCTCCTCGGCGTACAGCTGGGATTTGCGCAGGAACTCCTCCTGGAAGGAGGAACCACCGCCGACTGTGGTGGCGGAGGGCAGAAGGTCATCGGGCAGCGAGGAGAGTTGCAGGGCATCCGCCGGCGGCGTTATGACCGTGGTGGCACTGCTAAACGCCGACGGTCTGTAGATCTGGCTAATGAGGAGCCGCTGCCTGGCCTGGGCCTGAACCTGAGCCTGGGCTTGGGCTTGGGCCTGGGCGGCGGCCTGGGACTGTTCCTGGCCAACGCTCAGCACGCTGGTCTCGCTGCAGCAGCTGGCTGGGTCCTCCAGGTCGAGATCTTGATCCTCCTGATCCGCCTCCTCCTCCTCATCTTCGATATTCAACTGCTCCTCGCACTCCTCGGCCGGTTCACAGTCCTCTTCCCGCACTTGCGGGGAGTTTCCGCCTCCATGCTGCGCCAACGGCAAGGGCAGGCAGTCCGGATGCATGGCGGCCACTTCCGTGCTGCTCCTTCTTCGGCTGCTGCTGCTGCCGCTCCTCCTTCGTTCCTCCTCCGACTCCTCCTCGTCCTGATCCTGATCCAGCAGAGACGGAATGGTCAGCTTGAGCGGCAGCGGTCGGTTGCTGGCCAAGGTGGACATCAGTTTTCACAAGCACGAGAATTTTCAGCTCGAAAGTTCCGACGGCATTTTCGATTGGCACGCAGGCATCGAAAAACTACCCAAAAAACGCAAATAAACACTTTAATTTCGCTTTCAATGACCGATAAGCAAAACCGATTGACAGGAAATGTTTCGATTTTATCGATAAACACGATACACAAACGCCCGTTACTGTAACGCGCCGTTACTGTTACGCTGTTGCGCTGTTACGATGTGCCGACCAACTGATTCTCTTTGCCAACTAAAAAAGCCAAGCGAGACGGCTGCTGCTAAGAGAGACCCGCATACACACACACGCTCTCTCTTACTCTCTGTCTCGCTCTCGGGGTTTTTTCGAACATCCAATGAGCGGCTGTGGGGCGTCTTGCCCGGCACTATAGCGTTGTCCCTCTCGCACCCGTGGCCGATTGCGCTGTCAGTTGAGGTTATGTTAAGTGTTTGTATATTTGTTAATTAAGTGCGTCGTCGCCCCACAAAAAGGAGAAGAAAAAAATAAGAGGACTAAGGAAAATGAGAAGGAAACGAACTCCACTCCATTTCCATCTGCGCCGTGTCGTTTTGATTATGCGCTGCAGCATTTAAGTCGTAAATCTCACTCTATGTAGGCTCTCCCTCTGGCTCTCCTCTTTGCGGTCTGGCATCTGCAGTCCTTTTCGGTGGCATCCTCCATCCCGCTTTATATACCCACACACACACACACTCAGGGTCGGGTGTGTGCGTTTATGTACAACACATGCCACACAGCCTCCCCATTCTCCTTTGCTCCTGCGATTCGTTTTTGCGAATTCTCTTGTTTTTTGTGCTGTTTTGTGTTTTTGCCCTGATACAAGCGAAAATTTTTGCGCTTTTTGATGTCATTGTTGTTGTTAGCTGCGCTTTATAAATCACCACCACAATTTTTGTTGCTCCAACATCTGCCGTGATTTCATAATTGCTTTTGATGCTTTTTTGTCGTTGCCTTTATTGTTTGTTGTCGCTCTGCCTGCTTCACACATCCCATCGGGCGACAGACAACATTGATGATAGTTCTGCGTAAATGAATACCAATACGAGTGAGTGTGCGTGTGCATGTGTGTGATTGCATATGGTTATGGGGTCAGGGGCGTGGATTGAAAGGGTTTTGGAGGGTTTGATTGACTATCAAGCCTCTTTCTGGGCTTGGAAATTGATGCTGTATTTAAAGTCTTCAATTTACTTTAATTAAACTCTTAAAATTTATAATATAATTATGTTTAATATTTGTTAATTTATAATACAGACATGACTAAATGTATTTACCTTAAAATTCTCCACACAAACTCTTTCGGCAACTTCCAACCCCTTTTCAGGAACGCCCCTGTTGCCTGACCGAGTGACATGCTTATGTTTTGGGCTTGTCTAATTGGCCAACATATTGCATTGTTGCAGTGCTTTGTGTGCTCATAAATCTGTATTTAGCTTTCCTTTCAAGTATGACATTTTTTTTCGAAAACTGGTTTATGGCACTGCTTACAGTGAGGTTACGCCCGGGAATGTTGATCAAAGTGATCTTTGGTTAATTAAATCAGAAAAACTTAGCTTGAAAAGAAACTTAGGCAGGGTTGGGATGCTTCTCTGCATTCATTTGCATTAACTTTCGTATGTCGGGAGAGTGTGTGCTTAATGGATCATATTTCATATCTAAAATCGACCATCAATGTTGCACCTATTCCCCTGATATCGCCGACAGATTGGCCATAAAATATCGGAATTCCAATGATCTTTCTTTTATCGCTGCTGTTGAACCCATAAAGCCGCAGATTATGGAAGTTTTTTATTTTGGCTGGGGCCTGTCCACGCTTTATTATCGCCTCGGATCGGACCACGCCCCTCCCCGGACTGCAGGCCAATCCAAGCCCAAGCTCAAGCCCAAGCCAGTTTAATAACTTTGTTGCAGCATTACAAAGCGGCGAGTGCCAAGATGCCGACGCGGAGATAATACCCAGTATAACCCCAGCCCCGACCAACGAATTAATCAGGCTTAATTTCCAGCCCTCCCAACAAAAGAAACAATTATACACGAGCGATTAAGGTGGAGAAATAAGAAAACGAGGAGAATAGTTAACAGGAAAAAGAGTTACAGTTGGACTTCTTTAAGACTATCTTTTATTCTATAAAGTAACTTAGGTTTTCCATTTAGGAACCGTAACTGATGAAAGTTCTAGCTATATTAGGCACTAAGCAGATTAGATTTGCGTTATCAGAATTAGAATAATACGTTTTCTGAACGAAAAATCTATAAAAAAAAAATTCTTTAATTACCGTTAAATGAAAGTAATGCTAGGTAAATGACTCTTAGCTATAAATTTAAAAATTAAATTTGTAATACTACAAGCAATAATATGTTATATGTAAACAGTAAACAGTACTTCTATTATCTTTGACTGTTATAGCAATTAAATCATGGTAAATATAAATGCACCAGTACCATTCAGAAGATAACCATCAGTCTACATTTCAGTTACTTCAAAAACGTAATATGCTAAGTATCCTCGTTTAAGTTACGGAAGTTCGACTGTAGAAATTAAATGGCCGTAACCGGAGACCACGAATTATGAATAAAATTAAATGCAATTGCTCAAAATGTCTGAAAAAGCGAACTGATTTAATCCCCTTCTTCTTCGTCATCGTCTTTTTCCCCAAATAGCCTTCTTCCGCAGATTCCGAGCCAAAGAGGAGACATGATTAAAGCCGCGCACGAAACGCTTTTCACATAAAAGACGCCGCGGAGCGTAAGGCGATCTCTCGCTAGTTAATCGCGCAGAAAATCTTCATCAGAAATGGACGGCAAGCGAAAAGCCAGCAACAGCGAAAACAGCAACAACAAAAAACGCAACAACATAAAGACAGCGGCGCAGTAAAGTTACTCAAACTAAAATAAATACAATCAAAACATGAAGCCTACAACGCAAGCAATAAGTAACAACGACAAAAGAGCAAAGCGCGCCGGCAAAACATTACAAGGCCCTCTCTTGGTGTCTCTCTCGCTCTTGCTCTTTGCCTTCGCAGCATCTCAGCACCCAGCAGCAACAACAACAAATAGCATAATCGAGGCAACTCCAACGCCCCCCTCACAGCTGCCCCACTGGACACACAATTTAGATGCGCGGCAATAGATAAACTTAAAGAGGCTTTTATTTAAACAAAGCGCAGCAGCCAGCAGCAGCACAGCGTAAGAAGAAACGCCAATGAAGCTGCTCACTCAGGCGGAGACAGAGACAGAGATTTCAACTGTCAAGAAAGGAGCGGATTGTAGGAGACTGAGGGTAAATGGGGGCTTGTAATATAGCATTATTCGTAATATGGTGTTAATACGTTACAAAATATGTTTCTGTGTAGGGATTAACCCCAAAACAACCTGCAACAGTGCGTATGTGTCATATATCACGCATACGCACTGTTGCGGGAGATACAGTTTTTGAAACCCCTAAAAATCCTTGAGTCCACCCCTGTCTCCTTCAGCAGTAGCTTACAGGAGGAGAGAGAGTGGGATACGGGGCAATCAGAGTTGAAGCCTGGTCTTTCCAGGCTCTCCCTGCTGGTGCTGCTGTCGGGCGAAGCGCAAAAATGTATGTAGCTTACAAACGAGCAACAACCAAAGAAGAATAACAGAAACAGAACCGAGCTCAGGGATTGGTGCTCTCTTTCTCGCCCGCTTACAGGATCGATGGCTCTCGTTAGCTTTGCTTCAGCCGCTCTCTCATTGTCAATCTTATAGGACGGCAGTGCTGCCGGCTAGGCTTTTTTCTGCCACCAAATCTGGGATCTTTACAATCAAAACAGGATCAGTGCTACTGATAGGATGTTAGTAGTGCCATTATGTTCAGAAGCTTACTAATCTGCCCTTAAATTTTAGAATGGAAATTAATATATTTTTGGCTTAGTTATGATAGATTTCAATCTTTGGCTTCCTTTTATGTTTCCCCTAGATTCGGCTCCTTTCCAAAAATACAATCAGAGCTACATAGATTATTTTGTTGTCAGCACTGCTAACATAAGCCTGGCTTTTGTCCCCACTTTTTGCCGGCGTTGTTTTTGCTGCTTTTCGAGCTGATCTTTTAATCGAATCGCAGCATTTATTATGTCGCGACTTGGGGATTGGATGTGGATTGTTGGCTGGACCGTAATTGTTGTGATTTTGCGGCCAGTTTGTCTAATGTCGTTGAGCAAACAATGGACATGGCCTGTCGGTGTCATAAGTTAACCAAAAACTACAAATAAAGCGAAGCAAATGGACGACATTTGTTGCGCAAATTAATAATTTGCTATTCATTGGATTGCTTTCGCAATCTGGCTTTTGACGTGTTTGCTTTTGTTTTGATTTCATTTGATTGGCTTTGATACGTTTTGATTTCTTGTCTCAATTGGAATTTGCATAATTTATTCGTGTTTGCGAGCGTGCTGCTCTAATTGCAATTAACACGTGATGACAGCGCTAATCATCATCATCGCAGTCGAAACTCTCCCCATTCCCCATTCCGCACTCCCAATCCCCTCCTCCATTTCTTCCTCCATTTCTCCCATTCCCCACGTTCGTTCCACTTGTCGACAGTTTGGAGAGAAAAATCAATAACAGGCATGTGGAAATTGTATTTAATTGACAGTTAAATGGTTTTCAACTCGCCATGGAAATCGATTGGGTTTGGCCCCGCAGATGGGCCATTCAGTGGGGTTGTCGGCGGGTTAAGAGTGCGGGGCTTTTCAAGGGGCGGGGGCTGCGTAACAGCCAATTAGCAGAGGAAAAGTTTTCGAGGAAAATTAATAAGCAGCAGGGAAAAAGAGAGTACTTGTCAAAGGGAAAACAGGGTAGTGATTTGTTGGCTTGAACCGTTGGGCGTTTCTAGGAACAAAAAACTAGGCGGGAATACGTAAATAATTTAAAATGCTTTATTGTATTTAATTACTTATATTGAATCTTAATTTTAACTAAGATGAAGGCGTTATTGTGATAAAGTTTTAATAAAGAGAATATTCATTCTTAAAATTTGCTTAAAAATGTCTCCGAAAGTATGCAATACATTTTTTTAGAACAAAAAATAATGGTTCTGCGAAAAGTAATAAGTAAAATCTCAATTATATTTATTAAACGTTTGCTAAAAACATATCTGGATTACTTAAGATTCGAATTTTTATCGTAAACCGACATTCAAAACACAAAGCTTGCGGTTCAACAAGATGGAAAACAACCCTTTTCTCCTCCTAGTCT